TGGAGAACATAAAGGACACACATTTGACCAACGTATTGAGTAGTTACGAAGTTCAAATACTATAACTCTTGCCAAGATATATACTGTTTGGTAAAACCAACATCATAAACCAGGTGTGCCTGCTTATATAACTGGCCAAAGTATACACGACCACCAAACTCATAAGATCAGCTAATACCAATTTGGAAATCTATATCAAACTAAAAACAATCCTGCTAAATTTAGATCAGCGCATTATTACCATGAGTTGCAGTGTAATCAGATGGATAATTTCTCCGCATCAATTATGGATAATTACGGTTTCTGAACTTGCAATTTTAAAATACTGTTGTAAAACAACGTCTATATAACCATGTCTATATAGTTATGTCTCTATAACTAAGTCCAATATTGATACCCAGTCATTCTGTGTTGACATTTCTAGACTCGATATTGGAAACTAACGCTATACTTACTTGAAAGGATTGGTGAATCCTTGACTCTTATCCCCAACCCTTTACGTGGGCATTATAAACTAGTATTTGAATGTGTTTAGTGTCCACTTCTCACCAAACTTTAAATCTCAATATCCTTTCATGAATTACAGTGGATGTAATAAAGGTGTGCCTCATACACGTGTGTAGGTTCACCGCCATGAATTAAAAAAACGTTTAGAATGTGGTATATATAATGTTCAGTGATATAATATCCATAGCTCTTTCGAAACTTTGTAGAGTTCAACCATGACTTAGACAGTGTACTGGTTGGTTGATGTCATTCCTTACGTTGCAGAGCTTTATCGCCCACTCGAACAAAAATGCTGTGTGGCATGCCTCGTTTGGGACAAACCAACTATAATTTCCTTTCAAGTTGTGGATTGTGTCTTGTCCAAGGGAGTGAGCATTTACGGTACACATTGAAAACAGTTTGAGTAGACGTGGTTATAGTTAAATATACATTGAACACGCCAAACACTTTTAAAATTGTCCTTCCAAATTTCAATGTAGAGATCTTGTGTTGGTGACTAAAATAACTCTCTGAAACGTGTATGGTCCTCTCTGCGTATACAGGCAACCAGGAGATCTACATTGGGGGTCATTCATGTTTGAGGATGACCTTCTCCAACATGCACACACGGTGTGAAATGTTGACCTACTTTGGGCACAGAAGTAAATAGCCTACTCGCTGATCAGTCCGCACGGTATACATGGACCGTGCACTATGACTCAGGTGTGGCTCAACTACTTAGCATTAAACATTAATTCTGATCCTTTCAATAGCTTGCAAAGAATAGCATTACAACTGTAGACTAAAAGTAGGTCTGCAGTACCTGAATTACAAACATTGGCACTTCCTCTATAAGTAGATCAACACGGAGAACACACCTACTACGTGGCTAAACTTTTGGCTTTTACATTAGTATGTACATTAGTAGCAATACGCCTCGCAACTTTCCCGTGTCTTGGAACAAAGTTTTAGCTTTCCATGTGGCGCGTAACGAAAAGATGAAGGTACACAAAAAACACCAACAACACAGTGGAACATGTGGTTAAACAATAAACATCTAGCAGACATACACTCCAGTCTACGAAGACTTGGCTTGCACAGGTAATTTCGACCATGGTGGTGATACAAAGCGTGGGTTGAAGCTGCTAAAAATATATAAAGGGAGAATGCCGCTGGGAACGGTCCCCTTCTAGCCATGTAAGGTTGTAACGGTATCAAAAGTCAGCGCTATGAGGTTCTCCTTCCATTTGTTGATACTTGTGCTTTTCACCTCCTGGGTGTCGTGCTCGTCGCTAGCGGCGGCATACGGAGGTATTGATACTGAAGATCTCATTAAAGAGGTGGAAGATGGTCCTTCAGAGGGGGTTGACACTACTGTGAAAAGACTGGAAAAGAGACAATTCTC